TGGAGAAGTAGGCCCTCAACATGCTGTCCATGCAGTGTTGACTGTTAATCTCAACTCTGATCAGAATCCCACGCCACTTCCATTCAGATACATTAACAAACATTATTCTGGCATATGGTGCATGTTCAAATTTGATATATAAATGTATAAGGACCTGTCAACAGACTCCTGTGCCATGATGCTCTCTACTGAATATACCGGATTTTACCTGCCATATTATTAAAAGGGATCGTCAGTTCTTTCTGCTACTCATTATTATACTGGTTATTAATTATTTACATTGTAGTAGTATTTAGAGATCCCAGCTGTCCGCAGGGCTATATTTTGCGAAGTGAAGTACAAACTCACAACAAGAGACAGTCCTTGCCCCAAAGAAAATGCAGTCTAAACAGGCCAGGCAGGTAAATCACAAGGCCATCCTTCATTCTAAGGCATTAGTTTTGTGCCAGATGATATTTTCGGTTAGATTTTGGACTCAGAACAAAGGGCTACAGATTTTGGAACCTCCTCCCCTTTTCCAACCCTCACCCAATCTCTGCAAGTCTCTGGGGTGTCTCCATCATTGGGGCAGCTCCAGAAGGCCATACAACACAGTAATTTGAAACTTGAGGCGGTTAGCAGTTAGATTTAATAGACTTTGCAATATTGCCTTAAACATAAAATAATCCCACTTAGTAGGTTTTTATGGCTTCCATGGGGACCAGCCCTGTAGTGTGTATTAATGTTTAATGCCAAACAACATCTTTTTAGCAGCTATGGGGGGAAAAGACACTAATAAAAAATTAAACTTGATTGTGATATAATTGTCTAGACTGGTGGCGGAAAGTCATGATTTTTCCTCTTCCTTTGCCCCTTCTTCTGCTCCCTGCTCCGAATGCTTTTTCTTCCAGCCTCATTCCAGAATCCAGGTTTGCCTTTCTTCTGACTGCGTGGGGCAATATCATTCACATGTGGATTTAGGTCCGGCAACTGATGACTGCATGCAGGGTTAGGAGTCACCCAAGGTCTTTATATCATTACCCTAAACCTGACCGTAATAAACATGGTGGAGGGGGAGATAATTGTTCTCTGTGTGCTTCTGTCTTTGGTCTGAGATGAACAAAGGCAACCAAGATACCATGCAATTCCACATCTGAGATAGTAGATTGGTGATTTGATTGAGGACTGTTACAACCATTCCATCGAGTATTCCACAATGGGTTTGAACTGGACAGGGGATTGGAGGTCAGCTATTTCTCCATTTTAATACAAAAAGCCAATTCTCCCTGCACTGCAGGAATTCAGTAATAAAGAATGGTTAACGGGGAACTGATCCTGGATGCCTGGCAAATGAGGAAGTTACTGAGGGGTTAAATAATCAGAGAATGGGCATAGTTAGGTCTATGTGTGCAGTAGAGCTGATCATTAGGAGAAACTGATGTTGATGCTTATCTAATAGAGAAGTAGGGTGAACTTTTAACTTTTCATTGTATGGAGAAAGGATATTGTTAGTGCTCAGACTCTGAGGCTATGAAAACTCTACCACATCCTGGGAACGTGTCTGCTCTTCTGAAATTTTTTTTGGAAGAGCAGACATGCGTTTTCAGCATTCCTGTAAACCTCATTTTATGAGGAAGAAGGGATGTTCTGAAAAAGGTTTTTTTTTCTGACATTTGGCCCAGTGAAGATGGGCCAAATGTTGGAAAAGCCTCTTCGGAAAAAAGAAGCGGAAAAAGTTACACAAATTCCGGTTTGCAATTTGTGCAGCTTTTTCCGGAAGAACAGTGTAGTGTAGACATAGCCAGAGAAGCAGAGGTGTGGTTTGAACAGATGACTAGAAGTTAGGCATTCTGTCCTGAATTCTAATTCTGGCTCAGGAACCAGGATCAGAAGACACTTAAGAATTGGTGTGTTCTTCTCATCCAGCCTCAAACCCTCTATGGCACTGGGAAAGCCATTCATCGCTCTTCATTCTTCCCATTAATTATTAGAGTGTGCAGAACACAAAGCAGCCAAGTCAGGATCAAGGCTTCATTGTGATTGGTGCTGTAGAAACATCTAGAAGGCCAGGAACCCTGCCTCAGGGCTCTGACAAATAGCTAGGCAAAAGAAGGAGAGGGATTATTTTTTAAAATAAATAACACTATCTTGCCAATTTTATTGAAAATAAATTTAATTGCCTTCTGGGAAGAGGCAGGACAGGAAAAAGGAAGATGGGAGACAGGAAGACGAGAACAGGGATTGCAAGGATAGCCTGCTTAGCTATGGTATGAAATGGTACAGAGTACACCCTGTTGTGGCTGTATTGTTATTACCATCTTTGTCTTAATCACTGCTTCCATTTTGTTCATTAATTTGTATAATTCCTGCCTATTTATTTTAACCTCAGCTTATTTCAGTGGAAGAAGTTCTGTTAAACATCTGTGTAGTGGTTCTGTGATATTTTACTGAACTCTTTTTCATTGTTATATACATCATTGTAGTTGTCTACCCAAAGCCTGCACCCAACTGCGTTGGTAGCTCTGTTCCTTTTCCCTCCCCAACCTCTGTTTCCTTATTGGCCTTGATTTCTCCAGACTCACTCACCTGACAGGAGCATCTTGAGCTGTGTGGAAAATGTTTGGAAGACTATCTATATATGTTAAGAAGTTTCAGAGGGGTAGCCCAGTTAGTCTGTAACAGGAAAAAATTAAAAAACAGCAAATAGTTTAGTAGCACTTTAAAGACTAACAAAACATTAAGGATAGCCATACTATTGAGTGGCTGTATGGTCTAGAAGCCATGAGACTGGGATTCTGGGCCTAGTGGTGCCACTGATCTTCTGTATGACTGTTAGTGACTTCATCTTTCAGTCTGCGCCTGTCTTCTCTTCCATCCTTTGATTGGCCCATTGGTGTAGAATGCAAGTGCTGTTACATGGACTAGCTGTTGAAATGTGTTTGTGCAAATCCTAACACTACCAGTCTAGGGATTACTATGGAGCTTATTACTGTAGTACTGAAGTGTTTTATGATCAACATTTTTGTGAAACAGGGAAGATTTATCCCCTTTCTGCAGATGAGGAATTGGGAGTAATGAGAAAGTGATTTGTCTAAGGTCATACAATGAGTCCATGGTTGAGACAGGAATTAATTGCAGTTCTGTAGCCCAGCAGCCCACTTAACCAGTAGCCCATCCTTCCTCCTTACATAGACCCCCTTCGCACTGCCACAAGACAATGAAGAGTAATAATGCACCATAGTAACTGAAGAGAGGTTCAAACCTGTCCAGCAGAGAAAGCTAACAGAGACTGCTCTAGGATGACATTCATTGCCTCTATTTAATGCTTTTTTTTTCATTTAGTGTAACTTCAGTTGGGGAGGGGGAGGGAATTGCTCAACAGAACACTGGAAAACAAGCTCCATGGATTGTTTAGCTTTGCAAAGTGCTGAAGCGCTTACTTGCAGCAGCATAAACATATGCTGTGCACACGTGCAGCCTCCCACATCCTCCCCTCACACACTCACCACCACCAACACCCAGTCACACTGGATTTTGAGGCACCTGCGCAAACACATGCACACTCATAATCACATGCTGTAGCCTCATGTCACTCACATATGCCTTCCTGATGACATAAATCCATATTCAGATAAACACAGGCACTTTGGACCTCTGTCTCACACACAGACACATACTCTGGGAGTTGTACATGTGTACAGCACACCCGGCACACCCAGATACAGACTCACTCACACACATCTCTCTTCCAGCCAAACCTTTCACAACGGGGATTTAGAAAAGAAGATGTTGTCTGTAATGAATAGCTAATTGATACTACCTGGGAGCCTGCTGTGCTCTCCTCCCTTCTATCTTTGTCACAAAAATGATGGGTAAGGACCATCCCTGCAGTGTGGCTAGCAATCACATTCATCTTCCACTATTGTAAACCCAAGTATCACCCTGTAGGAGGCAGAGCACCAACGATGTGAGTGAGGAGTCAGCATGATTGAATGGCAAGTGCACTGGAATGGGAGTTGGAATCTCTGCCACTGTCCCGTTGTGAGACCTTAGCAAGGCACTTCATCTTCTTATACCTCTGTTTCCCCTCTCACTCATTTTGGGTCTTGCCTAGACTTCTAAGCTCTTCAGGGCAGAGCTGTCCCTTACTCTGTGCACGGGCAGTGCCTAACACATTGGGGCCTTGACCATAGTTAGGTGCCCTACGTGCTACTTTAATGCAAATAACAAAATAATGGTTTATTTGCTCCCACTCCTCAAAGGCCTAGTCTATCAAGCATGGTATGATCTTTATCCTTCAAAGTTCTGCAGGATTTTTTTTCTCTGAAAACTAGATAATTATTACTGTATTTTATTTCTCTCTCTCTCTCTCTCTCTTTTTTTTTTTTTTGGCCCAACTTAAAAGTATGAGCAAGGTCTTTATGGATTGCTCAGATTGCGTGGAGTATGGATTACAGATAATCAGAGAGACATGAAAGCAAAAGACACATTTATCTGGCACAGCATTAAAAGGATGATAAACATGTAATTGAAGCCTGGGGTGAAGCCACCTTGCACATCCGGCCTCCTCTTTCCACTGCAGCATTGCAGAGAACTTCCCCGAGTGAATGAGCAAATGTGGGCAAATGAGGTGTGGCACAATTGGGTTCTGCCCTTGCTGTTTCACAAGGGAATGCATGCTCTGAGAGCATGCCCATAGATCTATGTATCAAACAATGAAACACAGTCAGGTACCCAGAACTGCAGTACAAGTCGACTCATGGCATTTAAAATCCGGTGTTAAGTTTGTTTTCATGTTGTGCCAACTATTTGAAATAATTAACAGCTACAAAAATATTTCTATGATTACATTTTTAACCATATTTCTTTCTTCTCTCTCTCTTCTTCTATTCCTTTCATCTTTCTTGCTTTTTTTTCTCTCTCTCTCTCTCTCTCTTTCCTTTTACTTTCCTTTCCTCTTTTCCTCCACAGGACTCCATAGAATGGAGCAAGAATGAGAGGAAAAAGGCAGATAGAAAAGCATGAACTGGAGGCTTGTTGAGTTCCTCTACTTCCTGTTTATATGGGACCATATAATAATACAGCCCTCCCACCAGGAACCAGCTGTTACCAACCAACATGTCTCCAAGGAATTTGATTGGCTTATTTCAGACAGGGGGCCTTTCCACCACTCACGGAGTTACTTATCCTTTGTGGAAAGACATCGTCAAGGATTTACAACCAGATATAAAATATACAGGTATGTTGATTTCCTACAGAGCTCATAGCTTTGCAGCCAATGTGAACTCCAAGGTCACTGTAGATGCTAGTCATTGGTTTAGAGCCATCACTGTTCTATTCAGTCTGGGAATGTTTTTTGACTATCTACTGCCTTTCATTAACATTGACAGGTGCTTCAAACAGTCAGCTACAGTTCATGTAAAGCTCTGACGTAAGCGATGAATGCGTGTGGGTATCATGGGGACTAGCACCAATGCAGATAGACAGCAGACCAGGGGAGAACATGTCTGATGTGCCTGTGAATGTGTCATATATGGGCAAAGATTAAATACATGGGCTCACAAATGAGCATATGAAAATGCATCTAGCACTGTGCATATGTACCTGAATAAAAATCTATATGCACATCCAGCCATCTGCCTACTATATATGCATTCATTCACAAGCTAACATACCAATCTGTAAAACCATTAGAAATGCTGGAGTAAGAGGGACCACCCAAGGTCGCCTAGTCCATCCTCCCATGTTATGTTGATGTACCTAGTATAGACACATACCAACATGACAGTTTTTACACAACTGAAATTTACTTCTAGAGGTACTACCCATCCCAAGTACTCCAAAAACAAGCCCCACCCCCAAAAATCATGTGATTGGCTTAAAATTCAAGAGACTTTTTATAAAAATAATAAATGTTGGGTTCTTTTTATGTGCTTTCTGCATTCTGAGTCTTTAGGCTTTATTCACTTTGGCTGTGTCTAGACTGCATCCCTTTTCCGTAAAAGGGATGCAAATTAGACACATCGCAATTGCAAATGAAGCAGGGATTTAAATCCCCCCGGCTTCATTTGCATAAACATGGCTGTCACATTTTTCCGGCTTTGCTGGAAAAAAGCGCCAGTCTAGACGGAGATCTTTCGGAAAATAAAGCCTTTTCCGAAAGATCCCTTATTCCTTATTTTAGCCCTTATTTTATCCTTTATTCCTCTTAAAATAAGGAATAAGGGATCTTTCGGAAAAGGCTTTATTTTCTGCAAGATCCCCGTTTAGACTGGCGCTTTTTTCTGGCAAAGCTCTGAGCCGGCAAAAAGCGGCAGCCATTTTTATGCAACTAAAGGGGGGGG